GGAAGGATACGCTCGGAGGCGGATTTTCCGGCTTCCTGTGGATGCTTGCCCTGCAGGTGAGAAGTGCTCAATGCCCAACAGGGAATGCCCAGCCGTACTTCCTCGGCCAAGGAAACAAAGGGCCGGAGAGTAACAGGGGAACCGGGAAGTGAGCAGAGGACCGGAAACAGAGGGAGGCCCCCAGCGAAGGGACCCCCATCTCGATGACGCTGCCCAAGTCCGGCGTGGGTGGTGCAGCAGACTGCAGCAGCTCTGGTCCAAGACTTGTATCTTATTTGTTTGTTTGTTTTTTTGAGACAGAGTCTTCACTTTTTGTTGCCCAGGGCTAGGAGTGAGTGCCGTGGCTCAACGCTAGCTCACAGCAACCTCAAACTCCTGGGCTCAAGCGATCCTCCTGCCTCAGCCTCCCAAGTAGCTGGGACTACAGGATGCGCCACCATGCCCGGCTTAATTTTTTCTATATATATTTTTAGTTGGCCAATTAATTTCTTTCTATTTTTAGTAGAGACGGGGTCTCACTCTCGCTCAGGCTGGTTTTGAACTCCTGACCTCAAGCGATTCGGCCTCCCAGAGTGCTGGGATTACAGGCGTGAGCCACCGCACCCGGCCTGGAGACTTTTTTAAAAAAACTACCCGAGACGTGGGCGCCTCTGCCCGTCCCGGGAGTGGCAAGGTCACAGCTGGAATCTGACCGAGCTCACGCCCAGCAAAAGCACCAGCGTCTCCTAGGAACGTAACAGGGCGAGGCGTCTGCGCGCAGCCGGCTCCCCGCTCAGGAGACAGTCCCGCAGAACGCGGAGGGCAGCCGGGCAGTCGAGGCCCCCTCGAAAGGCGAGAAACAGTCGGCTGACTCACCTGGTGAGTCAGCCGTGAAACCCTCAGAGCAGGGTTTTAAAACGGTCACAACAACCGTGTTCAGCCAGGCGCTGGGGAAAGCTCCTCACGGATGAAGAGGCGGGAAAACCAGAATGCACGTCCGAAGGATGCAGCGTGTAGGGGTGGAAGTGCACAAGGCGAGATAAAAATTTCACTGGACGGGCTGCATGACGGCGGACGGAAGAGTCCAGAATGGAAAGATCTGCCGGTAGACACCATCCGCCGTGAAGAAGACAGAGAAAAAGGGCTGAGACGCTGAAAAGAGCCGCAGGGACCTGTGGGTGACGTGGAACAAACTGACACATGGTGACAAGTCCCAGAAGAAGATAAGAGAGAGAACAGGATGCAAAAAACATTTCAAGAGACAAATGTCTGGGCCGGGCGCGGTGGCTCACGCCTGTAATCCTAGCACTCTGGACTCTGGAAGGCTGAGGCGAGAGGATCGCTCCAGGTCAGGAGTTCGAAACCAGCCTGAGCAAGAGCGAGACCCCCGTCTCTACTATAAATAGAAAGAAATTAGCTAGACAACTAAAAATATATATAGAAAAAATTAGCTGGTCATGGTGGGGCATGCCTGTAGTCCCAGCTACTTGGGAGGCTGAGGCAGGAGGATCGCTTGAGCCCAGGAGTTTGAGGTTGCTGTGAGCTAGGCTGACGCCACAGGCACTAGAGCCCGGGCAATAGAGCAAGACTCTGTTTCAAAAAAAAAAAAATGGTATTCCTTATATTATATTATAACAAAAATATGTCGTTTCCACTAACAGTGAGATCCGCAGAGTATCTGGAAACCCATTCATGGCGCACGACACCTTCACAAGGAACAACCCTGCAAGATGGGGCTGTCTGTGCTCCCGGAATTATTCTGTAAATTCAATTAAACTCTCATGAAAAAATTCTAGGAGGATTTTTTTTTTCCCCAGGAACTCAACAAATTCATTCAAAAATTAAAAATAAAATATATTTATGATCTAAAAAGAAAAGGCAAGCTGCCAGATATTAAGACAAGGCCACAGTGCTCAAGCTGGGGACAGGCCAGAGACCTCGGCGGTGACGTTCCCACGTGCACGCGGGGCCTGCGCGAGAG